GTGTCTGGCACACACAAGGTGCTCAGTCAGAACGGGCTGAAGGCTTAAAAAGACCCCGGTGTGCTCTCCCCCGGCACCACTCCTGCTGGGCAGATGGCAGACGTGGAAAATGGCCGCTGTCCTTTTCCTCCTGGGCTGGGCCCTGTGCTGCTCTCCTTGCTCCCACACTCTCTTCCCCCGCCCCCACTCTCTTCCTCCCTCCCCCGCTCCACTTGTCCCAGCAACAAGCAGGGACTCAGGGTCAGAGCCCACTGGCCTTGATTTTCAGTCACTGCTTTCTCTGCCCTGCCACTAACTAGCTGTGGCACTTTAATCAAATCGCTAAATGCCACGTAACATCTCAGCGGTCCCCAGGGCAGTCATAATTCTGACCTCCTGAGTGGAGTCCCTAGGCCGCCTGCAGGTAGTGATGGAACATTTACCGAGCATTTAATCCAGCACCAGGCACCTTGCCTGTATGTAATGAGTTGACTCATTTAATCTGCCTGACACCCCCATGTGACAGGCATTCTTGGTACCATCCCCATTCAAATAAAGGAGCCTAGGCACAGAGAGGTTAAGCAACTTGCCCAAGGCCACACAGCTGGGCAGCTGGGTGGCCTGGCTCCTGGGCTCTGATATGCAACGTCAGCACACAGGGAGTGAGGATTACTGTGTACCAGGCATTGTTCTAGGAGCTGCAAATATAGTGATGGACAAAGCAGGCAAAGGTTATAGCCCCCACAGGCTTTTTCCTTCTAAAGAGAAACAAAATGCCCCACAAATACATGTGCTATGTGATGTGGTGGATGGTGATAAGTCTGAGGAGAAAACTGAAGCCAGGAAGGGAGATAGGGGTGTCCTGGGGTCTTTGTCATCTACCAAGTGAGGAGAGGAAGGAAGGTCTCACTGAGGAGGAAGAAGGGAGAATGTGCCGCATGGGTTTCTGGGAACAGAAGTTCCAGGAAGAGAGACTGGTAAGTGCAAAGGGCCTCAGGCAGGCCAAGGTGGCCATGCTGGATGGACAGGAGGTGGGTGTGGCTGGAGAGGGGCAAGGGCACAGGAGGAGATGAGGTCAGGGAGACGGATGAGGGTGGGCTTCGGGGCCGTGGCATGGACTTCCGTTTTCACTCCAGGTATGGTGGGGGCCATGGGAGGCTGGTTGGTTTAAAACAGCTTGATGGCGGTGCGAATGGTTAAGCGTTGACAACTGACTGAAAGCTGGTGGTTTGAACTTACCCAGAAGTGTCTCAGGAGGCTGGTCTGGTGATCTGCGTCTGAAAGCTCACAGCCTTGAAAGCCCCCTGGATCAGGTCTTCTCTGCACACGTGGGGGCACCATGAGTCAGAAAGGACTTGACAGACCCCATTGAATTATAACCCATCTGCCACATAAGTCACCCACTTAGGAGGGCGGAATTCAGTGGCGTTTAGTGTAGTCACATAATTGTGTAACCATCTCCCCAGTGAGTCTCAGAACCCCCAGAAGAAACCCTGCACCCATCTGTTCGGCAGTCCCTCCCATCCTCCTTTCCCCACCCACGACCCTCCCCCGCCCCTGGAAACCAGTAGTCTCTCTTCTGTCCCTATGGCTTTGCCTCCTCCAGGAGTTTTATACAAAGGGACTCCTGTAAGATGTGGCCTTCTGTGGTCGGCTTCTCTCACTATCGTGTTTTCAAGGTTCATTCCTGTTGTAACATGTCTCAGAATTTCAACTCTTTTTTTCATGCCAAATAGTATTTCATTGTGTGACAGTGTTGCAGCTTTCACGGCAGGAGCCGGAGGGAGAGTGCCTGCCTGTGGGGCCTATGTTCTGGGCTTGGGGGCAGGTGGACAGAACGCACAGACAGACCACACTTTGTTTATTCATTCATCGCCTGAAGGACAGTTAGGTTCTTTCCACTTTTACTATCGTGAGTAGTGCTGCTACCAATGTGCCTGCACCTGTTCTTGTCCCAGTGCCTGTTGTCAGTTCTCTGGGACAGAGAAACTGGGAGTGGAATTTGCTGGTCGTGAGGTGATTCTATGCTGAGCCTTATGAGGGGCTGCCAGGCTTTTCCCAAGCGGCTGCACCATGTCACACACCTACCAGCAACGGAGGAGCTTTGGGATTGCTGCCACTCCCTTCCCTGGCTTGTTCCCATCTTCATCTCCTCATCGTGGGAGGGCTTTGGGCACAGGAGGGACGGACCCACTTGGTGTCGCAGGCCCTCGGGGGCCCATGCTGATGAAATCCTTTGATCCCAGTCATCTCCTTCCCATCTGCTGTTTTGTCATCCCTCACCCTGACAAGGCCTCCCTCTAAAATGTGACGAAGTCTTTCTGACCCTTTTTAGGTCACCCTTCTTGCCACCAGGGATGACTCTGCTCAACAAGGCTGGGCACATGCGTGGAACTCCTTTCATCTGCGCCTTTGCCTCTCATCAGGTGACAATGTGGAGGGTGCAGGGCCATGGCCTTGGGGCTTCTTGGGTAAGCACCACGCACACTCGGACCTTGAAGATGGGGAAATAAACAAAAGTTAGATCGGCTGAGATGATCAAGGCGAGTGGGGCCTTGGGGAGCGAGGACGGACGTCAAGGCCAGGGCGGACCCCAGTCCCCAGTTAATGGGTTCATTTCCTAGAACTATGAAAGTCAATGAAATCAGTCTCCACAGCTGTTGGCTGCTGGAAGACTCAAGGGGCTCAGTGCAATGTTATTAATTGGTTGATTAGTTAATTAAACCATGAGTTTGATCAACAATTAGCTGATCACTTACAGTCTTCATTGATCACCCATTGTGCATTAGCCATTGTTTCAGGTGCTGGGGATACATTGGTCTAATTCCAAAGATGGACCCACTTCTCTCACGGGAGTGGGGGAGGCAAGCACATGCGCGAACAGATGACCGAGGGGGATAACTTCAGGTGGAATGGGGTGAAGGTCTGCCAGAGTAGTTGTGGGTGCAGATCAAAGAGCAAAAGCTCCCTGGAGGAGGCGCTTTGGGCTGAGATTTGACGGAGGAGGAGTCAGCCATGGATGGATGAGTCACCGGGCTGCATTCCTGGCTCACTCTCTCAGTAACTCCATTCATAAAACGAAGAGAGTGGTCTACAGCAGGGGCCCCAAACTCAGGTGTCTGGGGGGGGGGTGGCCAGGTAGGGGGGCTGTGGAGGACTGCAGGGGAGCACATGGCAGGTGGGCGGTGCCACCAGCCCTGCCCTCTGCCCCCCACCTGCCTTGTTTTCTTGGGGCACTTGCTGCTATTATTATTCACTCACTTGTCATCTGTCTCCCTCTTGATTGGCAAGTAGTCAGTTTTGGTGACTTAACCTCTCTGGGTCTCAGTTTCCTTATCTGGAAAACAGAGCCATCAGGTGAAAAGCACAGGCCTGGCTCCTAGAAGGCCCTCATTCATTCATGTGGAAACGCTGACCGTGAGGTGCGGATTACCTGCTGGGCAATGTTGCAGCTTTCGGAGGGAGAGCGCCTGCCTGTGAGGCCTATGTTCTGGGTGTGGGGGCAGGCGGACAGACTGCACAGTAACCAGTTGCTGTGTCACATGCCAGGTGGTGCTGAGTGATGGGAGAACTGAATAGGGGAGTGTTACAGAGGAGAGCTCGGGAGGGCCTTCTAGTCGGAGACATTGGGACAGAGACAGGAAGGCATGTCGGGCAGAGGCGGAGAGAGAGAACTCCAAGTGGAGGGGCACAGAGGGTTCTAGCATGAATAAGGTTGGAAAGGAGTGTGTGTGCAGGTGTGTATGGGTGAGTGTGTATGTGTATGTGTGCATGTGTATGCCTGCATATGTGTAGGAGCTCTGGTGGCATAGTGCCTAAGGCATTTGACTGCTAACCAGAGGGCTGGTGGCTCAAACCCACCAGCCACTCCTCCGAAGGAAGGTTGGGCAATCTACTTCCGTAGAGATACCGCCTCAGAAACCCAAGGAGGGGTCGCTATGAGTCAGATCCGACTGGACAGCAGTGCGTTGCGTTTTGTCGCATTTGTTTATGTGTGAGTGTGTGCACGTGTGCAGGTCAGTGAGCATCTGTATATCTGTGTGTGTGCATGAAGGTGAGTGTGTATATCTGTATGCATGTGTATATGTGTGTGCATGCGAGTGAGCGTCTGTGTGTCTGTGTGTGCATGTGTCTGTATGTGGGCGAGTGTGTGTGCATGTGCACGTGCATGTATGTGTATGGTGGAGGGGCAGATCAGGTGAGAGAGGAGACTATCTTAAGAATTTTGGTTTTCCTGAGTGACCTGAGAATCCCCCAGAGGTCAGCAAGGATGATAATGACGTCATGACAGAGGAGAGGGGGAGGAGGCCTGGGGGGGAGGTAGCAGGACAAGATGGGGAAAAAGGAGGAAAGACATGAGAGGGAGGGAAGGGGAGAAGTTGGCCCGTGAGCAGGGGGAGGCGGGGGCAGAGGGGCGCAGCGGGGCCACAGAGCAGGGCAGGAGAAGGAGGGGAGGGGGGTTGGAGGGAGTGAGAGATGTGGGAAGGAGATTGGGGGGAGGAGGAGCAAAGGAGGTGGAGGCAGGGAAGAAAGGGGTAAGAATGGAGAGGGAGTCCGTTATAGCTCTGATACATGCGCAGAAGAGGCATGGCGCGCGGCGCTGTGCGCCCGGCTGGGGGACCGAGTCCGAGGGGCGTGTCCTGGCAGCCGCGCCCCGCCCCCG